CTAGCAAACTACTAGTGAGCGTCACTTGAAATAACAGAGATATTTGACAATTTTTCTTGCTTCTGCTACTACTTTTTTGATAGTACCCAAGAAATTACTTCTAGATAATGCGGCTAAAAAGAGCTTGCAAGGAAGATATTTGCCCACAATACATCATAGAACACTTAGGAAAGAATATTGTTATCTGTATAATAAAAAAGTGTTTTCGCAGGTTGGGTTTTCTTTTCGGAAAAAAGTAGTCAGAAGATCGATGGGAAGAGTTGTATTGATATAATAATATATTTATTTATATAAAATAAAAATAAAATATATTATATTTATACCGTTGTCAAAAAAAATCACATTATTAGTATTTACAATGCTATCTTTGGGCTTCATATACTGCTTTCGTTCTATTCAGTATACTACAAATAAGTGAGTGAATATATTCAATTGGTAATTTATACTATTCTTCTTTTATAATTTTAGCCAATTCTTCTAATTCTATAAGTATCAGGTTTCTACTACGCATAGCAGAATCAAGGCGTTCCTAAAGATTTTCAATTGGGTTTAAATCAGAGCTATGCAGTGCCTAATTTAATATATTAAAACTATGTGATTTCATCTACTATTTTGAATATTTAGATGTATGTATAGAAGCTAAGTCTTGTTAAAAGATTAAATTTATTTTATTAGGATATTTATTTATTAAAGAATTTGCTCAGAGAATAAAATGTTTCGCAAGTACATCAACATAACTATCTGAATTTATATTACCTTTAATTTCAACTAACGGTCCAACTCCCTACTAACAAAAACAGCCCCAAAATATAACAGAACCACTACCAAACTTCATAGTACTATTTATATATTTACTATGATATTTTTCATTAACTCGACACCAAACTTTCATATAACCATCTGACTTATAAAGACAAAACTATGATTCATCCATAAAAACAACTATTTGCTATTCATTTACCCAATTCAAATATTCATGACACCAATTTTTTCATATTTTAGCTTTGTTTTTGTTTAACAAAAGTTTTTTATATGCAACACAACTTCTCTAGCCTAAATTGTGAAGATACTTTCAGATAGTTTTAGTAGTAAGTATTGTTCTAAGTTGAATGTTTAGTTCATTAGTAATGGCTACTAGAGTACTTTATGATTATTTTTTGCAATATGAACTAAAGAACATTTGTCACATTCAGAAAGAGCTTCTTGGGGGCTAGGATGTTTGCTTAGGTATTCAGAGCCTGTTTTGTCATAATGATTAATAGTGTCATATACTGTTAACTTTAGGATACTAAAAGCTTTACAAATATTATATGGTTTAATACTACACAGATAAGTGCTAATGATACAGCTTCGTTATTCTATGTTCAACTTTTTATGAGGATTTTTTGTATTATAAAAAAAAATTTTATATAATTGTCTTTAAAATAAACAAGTTTTGATACGAAAATAAAAAGACTATACAGTATGTTAAAAGATTATCATATATGAAATTCCTAGTAAATCTAGAAATTTTCAGTGATCTACTTCCAGGCACTGTATTAGCTTTAGTAGTAGTTTAGAAAACTGGTCCTCCTTAATTCACACAGAACTAGGAGCTATTTGAACTATTATTCTAGTAGTATCTATTAACTCTAGAGTTCTTATATATATAGATAGCAAATCAGCAATTGAAGCTATAGAAAAATACTAAAAAGAAATAAAGATATGAAGCTAGTTCAAAGCAAAAAACAAAAATATTATAAGATAGATCATTGACTATTGCAAAATGAAATACCTAGAATTACTATTATATAAAGTTAAAGGTTATAGTAAAATTCTAGGAAATGATATAGCAGACAAGCTAGCTAAACAAGGTATAACTTCAAACAATACTCTTAGAGTCTAAGAAACATCTCTAGAAGATTTTAAGTTTATTTCTAAATAGAAAGATCAGATTATTAACAGTATACTACAGTCCTTTATAAACATTATAACTGCAATCAATTATGAAACAGAGTAGTCAGAACTAAGCAAGGTAGCAGATATTATTATCCAAAATCAGGCAAATAATTCTAATTCTATACTAAATTAGAACAATACATAGCAAGCACTCAAAACTTAACAAGAAAAAAAAAGAGTTAGTATGAAAAAAAGCAAAAAGCTCATTTTTCGTATAAAATATATAAACAATATTTTGTGAACAAAAAATGTATACTATTAACAGAACCCAAAGCTATACAAAAGTCAAAAATATATAGCATACTATAGGAATAACAAATTACTCTATCATATAACAAAATATGAAATCTATTAAATAATTTAAGACAACTTAAAGAAAGAAGCAATCTTGCTAACAAAACTCGAGGTTTCAACAAAGCTAAATCTAGCAATTAGTAAAATTTAATTAAGAGAAACAATTTATAGCAAAGATACTAATACTAAAATAAACTATTGAAAAATTCTTCTAAGGAGTTTCACTAATAGCAAGCAATAAAAAAATGTGTTCAAAATAATCTGATCTCAAAACAAAGTGAACAAAGTTTTAACTAGTTTTATCAAGTATTTCTGAGAATGCTTTTATGAAAGACTATGAAAATTCTGCTATGAAATAATAATAGAATAGGAAAAGAACCAGAATATTACAGCTGCAGCAAAAAAAAAAAAGTCAAAAAAAGGAAAAAACCAAACAAAAATAAAGAAAATATAAGACCTCTTGAACTACTAAAAGAAACAAAAACTAAAAAGAAAGCAAGAATTCAAAAGAAAACCTCAAATAAAATTGATAATTGAGTAAAATTAGGCAAAAAAGAGAAGTAGTTATATTTTAAAATTTAAATAAGAAATCTTGATATAGGCTAGTAGCAGCCTCTCAATGATTAGAAGTTAAAAGTTTGTATATACAAACTAAAACTTCTATGAGAGAAATAGTTGCTATAGCAGATTGTACTTAGATATCTAAAAGCAGTCGAGTAAGCTTAAAATAATTAAAAGGAGAATAGTTTAGCATAAAATATATAATAAATTATCTTATAGCTCATAGTAGCTTTTCCTTAATAAAATGATAAGCAAATCACCTAAATTAAAAAAATAAAAAATAAAAAAAAAATAAAAAAATAAACATAATTACTAACAAAATAAACCAATTTATTTACCTTATCTAATTTAAAAAACTTCTTCTAATCTATATATCAAAACTATTTAATTTAATTCTATCACTATCTATTAAATACTTCCTTCAAATCTGCTTACTCTCTTATAAAAAAATTAATCAACTATCAAGCACTTTCACTAAAAGTATCAAACATATGCTATACTGTATAGTACTAACTACAGTACCCTAGATACTTTTCAATAAACCATTGAATTTCTTGAATAGTACCTATTTGAGTACTATTTACAGAGGGAGTATACAAGTATAGAGGTATTTTGTAATAGGGATACTATAGCAGGAGGGTCTTTTACATGGTTATAATAAAATTACTATATACCAGTAGGTGGCTCACCAAGATGCCGTAATGTAATTTATAGTATAGCTGCAGTATATGATTTACTAGTATATATCAATATACTTCGTAATTAAATATAATTAATAAATTAACATACTGTAACTAACAGTATGTTTTAAATTACATCATAATTGCATCAGTAAATTGTGATATAAAAGAATTTTTTTTTTACCTGTTAACCTATTAAAATTACAATAGTACGCATACGTAGAAATAAGAATAGTGAACATGTGAGAGTAACAAATAAAACAAGATGGCAATAGAATGCACATAAAAAACTTGCTATTATTACATACTTTGAAAAGTACCCAAGTCAGAGTGTTCGAGCAACAGCTACCAAATTTAATATTGAACCAAAACAAGTAAGAGATTGTTGTAACAAAAAAAATAAGTTAATGAATATCTCGCCTTATATTAAATGAATGAATAAGAGAAAATCACCTAAATATCCTGAGTTAGAGAAGGCTATTTTTAGTTGGGTATATGAATTATACAGTAAACTCAAACTCGTGACTCGTGCTATGATACAAATTAAGGCCAAAACGTTATCTCAAAAATTACCTTATATTACTTATTATCCTGGTATTACTAAAAGCAAATTTGGTAATAAGTGAGTTAATAGCTTTATGACTCGTTACAAATTAAGTAATTAGCATCAAATATCTATAGCTCAAAAATACTCTAAAGATCTGTGATTGCAATAACAAGAGTTTTTAAGTTTTGTATTGTATAATTGAATTCAATATAATTATCCTCTTGCCTTAATGGGTAACATGGATAAAACCCTATTATCATTCAATCTTTAAAATAATACTACAATTGATAATTGTGATGCAAATACAGTTTCAATTCGGACCTGTAGACATGAAAAATTATGTTTTACCATTGTACTTACTTGTTTAACTAATGGAACTAAATTGCTTCTAGTTATTATCTTTAAATTAGTTAATATTCTACAGCAAGTATTTCCTGCTAGAGTTTATGTGCGTACAAATCCTAAAGGATGGATGAATGAAGATAAGATATTATAGTGAATTGAAAATGTATAGAATTTGTGATCAAGAGTATCAGTAGATGCATATTTAATTTTAGTTTTAGATTCATTCACTACTCATATTACTGATATAGTTAAATATCGATTCTCTGAAAAAAATACAAATTTAGCTGTAATTTCAGAAGGTTTAATCTCAAAAGTTCAACTATTGGACGTTGCTATTAACAAATCATTTAAAGCAAGAGTAAAGTATACAAATTATATATATAACTGAAACTTTTCAGTCATTTTAGCTATATAGCAAATGATAAAGCAAAGTTTTCAATAATTTGTAAATATAGTAAACATTAGGCTTAACAAATATAAAGCCTAATTTTTACTATATTTACAAATTATCAAAAACTTTGCTTTAATCATTTGCTACATAGCCAAAATAGCCGAAAGGTTTTGGTTACATGTATAATACAAATTATATATTATATAAATAAATATAATAGATTTCTTTATTTATCTTATATATATAAATGTGAAATTACTATAATAATTAGATAGCTAGTAAAATTCATACTTTTACTAAAAAAGGTTATATTCAATATCCTGCATACAATTTAATTGCTCAATAGATATTAAACGCATAGAACAGTATAGATCCTATACTTATTTGTAAATCCTTTAAGTGCTGTATTATTTCTAATTCATAGGATGTAAAAGAAGACTATCTAAATTTTGACTATGATCAACTTAGATCACAAACAAATTCATGTAATCATATATATATTTATGAAGAATCAAGTAATATTAGTGAAGGTTCTAGTGTTAATACATAAGAAGGTTCTAGTGTTAATATACAAGAAGGTTCTAGTAATAATGTGGAAGAAGGTTCTAGTGATAATACAGAAGAAAGTTCTAGTAATAATATGAATGAAAAAAATTTGAATGTTGATACAAATAAATGTTTAAATACTTATATAGGTAAAATTTAAACTTTAAATTAATAAGTTTATATATTAAATAATTTTGGTAACTTAATTTAAATTTAGTGGAAGAAATCAATTTAATCAGTGATAATGATAGTCAAGTTAATGGAAATGAACATGGACATACTAGTGAAAGTGAAGATAGTCATGTTAATGAAGATGAATATAACTATATTTTTTTTTTTCCTTTGACAGTCATGTCATAAACTTTATTAAGTTGTTAATCGTAGCCGTAGCCAAGTTACATATGATTACTAATCTACCTAATTTCCTAAGTCTGACATCACCCAGCTGCTACTAGA